CTTGCCTTAACTCATCAAAAGTAATTTGACTTTCAAAAGAGGTAAATGAGTTTTGAGAACTAACCTCTTCTTCATCATTGGAGGCCATGAAGCAAGCATTTGCGTTCTCTTCTTGGCTTTGGTTACTATCACTTTCGTCGGAGTTTAAATCGTCCCAAGTGACTTTTAATGCCTTCTTCTTCCCCTTTTTAAGCTCTTCCTTCTTTTTGAGATTTGGGCACTCCGGTTTGATATGACCTACATTTCCACATCCATAGCAAGTTATTTGATTAGGTTTACCTTTCTTTGATGGAAATCTTTTTGAGGATTCGCTTTCCGGATAGTCATCAATTTTGAGTGCCATGGTCTTCTTGATGATAGGAACCTGTTCTTCAACCTTCATTTTCTTCAAAAGAAGTTCGTGAGAGTATAGGCCGCTCCAAATGGTGGAGGTTTCAACATCCGCACATTTGGGCAACAAATTTACAACAAGACTATGCCACTCTCTAGGAAGAGAGAATATAATCTTGGTGTTAATCCCACTAGTAGGATAAACTTTATTTAGCTTACTCAAATTGTTGACAATGAGGTTGAATCGATTTTTCATATCTTGAACGGATTCTCCGGCCTTCATCTTTAAGTTTTCATACTCGGATGTTCCTAAAGCTATCTTGGTAGCTTTTGTGTCTTTATCTCCTTCGTGGGTGGCTTCTAAGAGCTTCCATGCTTCCTTTGCGGATTTGCAAGAACTCACCCTAGCGAACTCATCTTGACCCAAGGCACAAAACAACACGTTTAGTGCTTTGGCATTCAAGGAGAGTTTTTTCTTGACTTCGGTGGTGAGTTTGTCCATTGGAGTAGGAACTTGGTGTTCACCTAGAGTTGTCATAGGAACAAACGGACCATGAGTAGTGACTATCCATAAATCATAGTCAATAGATTGAATGAAATTCTCCATTCGCATTTTCCAATAGCCATAGTTATCCCCATTGAAGAATGGTGGCTTGGTAATGCTTTGGGAGTTCATTGAATCCATGTGTCGTAAGATAAAATAGAAGATGAGTGTGAAAGGATCAAACTTCCTGCTCCGATACCAATTGAAAGTCGGTTTACACCCTAAGAGGGGGGTGAATTAGGGTGTTTGCAAATTTTTTGTAGAAAACAAAAACTTATGCGCAAAGTAGTAGCGGAAAAAGAGCAAGAAGGATATAAAGGATAAAAAATACGACACTCGCGATTTTATACTGGTTCGGGAACTCCCTACTCCAGTACCTCGAGGCTCCTCCTCAAGGATTTAACCTCCACTAACTTGTTTGGCTTCACTAAGAAGACTCAAACGACGTTTGGCAAACAACCCTTGCCAATAAGCAAATGACATTTTACTACGGCTATCTCAACCGTTTACAACCGAAGATTTTAAGGCTATCTTCAACCTTACAATGAGGATTTAGAGGCTATCCACACCTTTTACAAATCAATAAAAAGATTGGTGTTGCTTCTCTACCAAAATGATAACAAATATAAGTTGGGTAGGAGAAGAACAAAAGATAAAATCAACAACAACAAAAGCCTATAGGCAAGATATAAAATAATGAAGCACAAATGCCCTTGTGTGTGAGTGTATAAAAAGATGAAAGCTTTTTACTCAAAAGTGTAAGAAAAATAAGAACAAGTCTTTAAGAACACTCAAGAATAGAGAAACGAGGCTTTAGAATTAATTGGGAAGTTGTTGTTTTTAAAATGAGGCTTAAAGGGGGTTTATATAGGAGTTTGGAATGTTAAAATTTGAGTTTTTGACGTTAAATTTCGTTAGGAAGTGATTAGGGTTGATTTGAATTTAAATTGGCAATTTGCTACATTGCTGCCAACGGATCCGGTACCCTTCACGGTAGGGTCAGTGCCGTCTGGTACCTAGGTACCGTGATCCACGGTATAGCCTACCGTTTGGGGGTACCGTGTATGCCAAAAGTTTGGTTCGCCTCCGGCGGTACCTGGTTAGGACGGGGGTAACCATCCGTCTCAGCCTTCCGTCCGGTACCTAGGTACCGTTACACGGTAGGGGGTACCGTGTACCTCTTCAGTGAAACGTGCTACGGTACGTTCACTTCGCTACCGGCAGTATCCTGGTGCCGTGTACACGGTAGCCTGGTACCGTTAGGCCAGTGTAAATTTTCCAAAACTCGTTTTTCGTGTTCTGTTTTCAAAATGACCCCAACTTAGAATATATTTGACATTTAAAATTAATTTTTTAGTGAAAGGGCATAAGTAAATCATTAAAATATATATTATTACCTTTACACAATAATTTCTAAACTCGTAGGAGTATATCTCGGTGATGCTAAACAAGCTAATAGAGGTTTGGCGTTTGGTTTCTTCCTGCAAATGATGTTAGTAGCATTTGGAAGACTTATTTGGCACATCAAAATGGTTACGGCGTACGGAATTCAAGGCCAACACCCCCTTTCAATCAGTAAGTTTGAACAAAAGTTGTATCCTTCAACGTGGTGTGGTACTTGAGGCAAGAAAACCTTCAAGTATTTACACTATAGCTCTTTGGAAGGAGGAGAAGTTTGCTTCTAGATAAGGAGTTTAGAAATCTCTCTTTATCAAGCTTTTTGGGCTAACTGTAAATGCGGTAGCCTCTTTGTGGTTGTTTATCTTATTGTTGTCGTTGTTCTTCTCTTCCCCAGTCTTCCAAGGATGCTATTTTATAGCTGGATTGGATAATCTATCCGTTGAGTCAAAATAGACTATCCGTTGCATTTGCTGGCTTCAATTTTGAATGAAGGTTGTGATTTTAAGATTCCTCATTGGAATGGGTGTTTGGACATACCCAATTGTAAAGGGAGGGATTCCTTTTTCCATAGAATCCGTCTTCTAGTTGTTGTTCAAGAATTCTGAATTGTAGCACTTTACTCTGTTTGTCTTCTAGTTCTTGTTTAGGAATTCTGGACAGGTTCTTCAATTTTTAAATGTCCAGACTTTGTCTTCAAGTCATTTGTTCTTGAATCAGCATAATTATCTTCAATCTAGCCGTTGAAAATCAAGAGATTGAGTTTTTTCCTTACCAACGGTAGAATTTCTTCATTCTAAGACTTAGATAATTTTCTAAGTCTTTTCTCACTTGTCCGCTTTTTGAGAATTCCGGTCTTCCTTGAGGCATCCAGTTCTTAGCTGACAAATCCGGAAGAGTCATACTCAGTCTTCCAGGTGAGAAAGAAATCCGCGCTAGTCTTCCGACTTAGCCTTCAGCGGGTTGTAACGAGACATCCGGTTCTCATGTAATATTCCGGATAGGAGGATTTCTGTCTGCTTTGAGAAATCCTTACTTGTCTCTGACATTTCCGATCAAGATATCCAATTTCCATGTCTCTGAATTTGATTAAGTCTTCAGGCATCAAACCGTTTAAAGAAAAATCACAACTTTATTGGAAATCTCAAGAACTTGGTTTTAACAATATTTCTAAAAGGAAAAATTACATTGAATATCTGGGGAGACCTAAAGTCCTTATTACATTCTAAATACATCATCATCAAAATCTATGATATTTTTTCCAACACTAGGATACCCCGGTCGGAGAACACAGACGCTGATATGCTTTCGAAGTTAATGCAATCCTGCCCGGAGCATGTGTCGAAGTTGGCTAAAATTGAGATTTTAGATCAACCGAGTACTGAACGCTTTGAGGTCGCAGCCGTTCAGCAAGATCAGAGCTCTGCTACCGGGATAATTGGAGCAGATGATGACTGGAGGTACGAACTCATGGAGTATCTGGAGACCTGTCAGAAACTAGATAATGAGGAATGAGCCAGGAAAGTGGTCCTGCGGGCTCCTCGTTTTCAGGTAATCGATGGTCACTTGTACAAACGTGCCATTGGTGGACCTCTCCTACGTTGCCTTACCAACTCGGAGGCTGAACGGGTAATAGCTGAGGTGCATGAGGGAGTTTGTGCAGCCCATCAAATGTCCCGCACTTTGGCTCAAAGGATAATATTGCTTGGCTACTACTGGCCGACCATTGTTGGGGATTGTGAGCGATATGTCCAGAGATGTAGGACGTGCCAGGTTTTTTACAAACATCCCGGCAGACCGGCCAGATATTACCAACCAACGTCTAATGTCATACCATTTGCCTGGTTTGGGATTGACATTATTGGAGCCTTCCCGGTCGCCCAAGGCGGAAAGAAGTTCGTGATGGTGGCTATTGATTACTTCACTAAATGGATCGAGGCTGAGGCGATGGCTACCATAACCGTGCGGCAGTGTGAGAAATTTTTTTGGAAAAACATTATCACCCGGTTTGGTGCCCCGAAGATCATTGTTACCGACAACGGTCCGCAGTTTCGCAACCCCCGGTTCACTGCATACCTTGGTAGCTTCGGGATCAAGCATAGCAAGGCATCGGTAGCATATCCACAAGGAAATGGCCAAGTCGAAAATGCTAACCGGACAATAGTGGACGGGCTGAAAAAGAGATTGGGTGAGGAAGGACACAAGTGGTTGGAAGCCTTACCTCATACGGTCTGGGCACATAGAGTGACTTCAAGGAGAGCAACTAGAGAGACTCCTTTCGTGCTCACTTACGGATGTGAAGCCCGGCTACCAGTAGAGGCAGAAATTCCAACATTTAGAGAAACCGTGTACCAGCCCGGTCAGAATGAAGTCGACCACCTAGCTGAATTGAATCTGGTGGAAGAACGAAGGATCATAGCCGCTGTCAAGATGGCCGGTTACCAGCAGTCAGTAAAGAGGTATAATGATAACCGGGTGGGCCCACGATATTTCCAAGTGCATGATGAAGTCTTACGCAGAAGGGATGCTAGTAAGCCTAATGAGAGAGGCAAGCTAGTACGAAACTGGGAGGGACCCTATCGCATAAAGGCTATCATCAAGCCGGGCACTTACCAACTGGAGACTATGGAAGGTGGCCGGGTTGACCGACATTGGAACTCTCATCACTTACGTAAATTCTTTAGATAAAGTGTAATGAGTTCCCTAGACGTTAATAAAACTTTGTTCTTTTCAGAAAGATTGTTCTAGTGCATCAACCGGTAATTGGTCAACACACTGATTTACCCGGTTAAATGTCCAATCGAATTGGGCATCTCAAAAAAAAGAGACCGGTCTGACCGATCCTACACCTCATCCGTATTAACACGGGAGTTAAAACGATTTGGCTTGACTAAAGGGAGAGTATCCCGGTCAGTTTAAGTCAGACGTTCTAAAGAAAAACTCGAGGTTTACCTTTCCACGAGGGCTTTAAGCCGTTGTGCAAAGGTGCCGGCCTTACAAGCGCTCGGGCAAATACTCATCCTTTCGAAAAGGACAAGTCAATACGCCATCGCGGGTTATTAACCGACCGGAAGAAAATTAATGAAACTCAAAGTCTTCCCGGTCGACCACCCAGCTTTTCGAAAAGCCTTGGGTAAAATTGTATTTTAAACCGGGTAAATGCGGTCGGGCTGTTATTTACTAATCTAAACGGTTAAAAATCTCAAGTTGAAGAGAATATAGAAAAAAACACTTGCATTAATATTTAAGCGTCTTACAAAAGTGCCCGGAGGCAGATCATTACACATGGGAAGTAAAAAAGAAGAGAAGGCTGGGAAATCAGATTCCCGGGAAAGGCGCGACCGGTGCCTCATCATGCAGCTCGGGCAGAGAAAGAGCCTTGGGCTGGAACCTTGAATCTGTTGCTCAAGGATACCATATAGAGCCCGCCGTTCATCGTACTGACCGCTTTCGAAACCGTAGGTTCTGATCTCGTCGATGATCCCGGCCGAGACTTCGTGCTTGTATAAACCTTGGAAGAAGCGGATGGCAATCTCCCGGTCAGGAAGCGCTTGGGCAGCAAACTTCTCAGGCGCTTGAACAGCCCAGGCGGCAGCAAGAGGAGCCCTTTCCGAGCGCTCTTTCTCCAGCTCGTCTCCGAGCCAGGCAATTTCCTCAGCCGACCGGGCGTTCTCGGCCTCAAGCTGTTGGTTCTTGGCCTGAGCATGCTCATCGGCCTCTTTCGCGGCCTTGAGGAGACCGTCATGCTTTGCATACAGCTGGCGGTAGACCGCACAGTGGTCCATCAGCTTCTCCTCCGCCTTCGCCGCCTTCTCAAAAGCGGCCTTAGCCTCCTTCCGGCATTCGACCATCATGGCCTCCATCCTGGCCTTTTCTTCATCTCTTGACTTCACCAGCCGTGTGAAGTACTCCTCACCAATCTGACCGACCTGCTTTAAAGACATGAAAAGTTTTTCAGGAGTTTATCAGAAGCAATAAGAGGGCGGTAAGAAGGGAGAAAGGGGATTACCTCAGTCAGATCGGCGCGGAAGGCTTGGAGGAACTCTTCATCCGATCTGGACATTAAAGCCATAGACCGGGGCTAGCTTTGCCTTTTGCCTGCATCGGAGGACTGGGCTGCTTGATGAGCCAGCTGGTCGACTACTTCAGTCTTCCGCCTCTTCCTTTTAAGAGACTCTTCAGCAGCCTCCTCTTCGTTGTGGCCTCCCTCGGCCAGCTGGTTTGCTTGACCAGCCTCCATCAGCTGGTCGAACTCCAGGGTATCTACATTGATGTAGAGTTCCCCGGAGTGGACGGGCTGGCTGGTCCCCTGTTGAGACTGGGTCGGCTGCTCGTCCAAAGAGAGTGGTTGGACCGAAGGTTGGCTGAGAAGCTGGGCGGTGGAGGGCTCCTCAACGACGATTTTTGGGGTGGCGAATTTGGAGTGAAACTTGACCACTGCAAGAAAAGACACCGGTTAGAAGAACAGCGATATAAAAAAGAAAAAATGGAAGGAAAATAAGGGTAGTTGATTGACCTTTCTCTTTCTTCTTCTACGCCGGGCATGAAGGACCGGTGGTGGCTGTGACCGGGGCTTTGGATCCCCTCGCCCGGTTGATGGGGATAGCTTCGGGGATCACCCCAGTCAGGACGATCTCCGGCTCAGGGTCAGTCTCCCGGCCGGGGTAGACGCTCCACTTCCCGACATGGTAAAGACCGCGGGTGGAGGCATCCCCGGCCCGGAGGGTGGTTTCCCAGGCAACCAGGTCATCGGCCTCTGTTGGTTTGACCTGGCACTTCATTCTTTTCCCCCATATGTTTTGGGCAAAAGGAAAGGCAGCTGGGGGAATTTGATACAGAAGTATTTGTCCTTCCACCTCTTGTTGGAAGGAGGAAGGCCACAGAGAAATGCCCGGCCTTGGTGAGAAGACACCACCACGAATCCAAGGGTTTCCTTGGACCCGGGCCGGACATCGAACATATGGTCGAAGAGACAAAGGGAGAGAGGAATTCGAAGGAACCGGCAGACATTGATGAAGCTGCCCAACAAACGGTGACCATTAGGGGCCAGCTGCCCGGGCATGATACCGTATGTCTCGAGGAAAAGGACTTTGAATGGGTGAATAGAGAATTCGCCCAGGTCCTTGATAGAGTGGTAATGGATACCAATCGACGTACCGACGTGGAGAGGAATAATGCTCTTCCACGTTGCCCGGTAAGTTAATTGGTACCCGTCCGGCATCAGCTTGCGCACCTCGTGGACATGCGATCATCAGCTTGGGCCTTCTGCATGACCGACGATTGCATTTGGAGCAACCGGTCGTCTAGCAGAATGAAGCCCTCATCCCCAGGTTGGGCAACCGAGACCACTTGCGCCGCAGAAGAAGAAGGAGCGCAAGTCGAAGCATGAACCGGCTTCTTCTTTGGAGAGGTAGTTGGGTGCTCAGAATCAGAGGATGAAGAAGAAGAGGAACCGGAAGTCTGAGACCGGTCACCAGAGCCGTAAGAATGGACGGAAGGGTTCTTGCTGTCTTCGCGGTCAGACATGACTCAAAGAAGAGGAAAGAAAGAGACTTACTTGGAATAAGAGGACTCGGAGGACTCGTGAAAAAGCAGAAGCAGCCGGGCAGTTTTTAAATCGAAGATTTGCAAGTAAGGAAATCCTAGGGAGAACCTCGCTTTATATAGGAAATATGCCGCCCAGACGAACGGAAGAATGACACGTGGCAGCTGAAATGATTTGCCATCATAACCTCTCGGGGAGACGAAACGGCACAATAAATCGGTGGCTCCGTACCCGACTTTGAGAAGATTCTCCCGCTTTGGACACCCGGTTTTCGAAATTCAAAATTCAAATTTCAGATATTTTGGGTTGGCGCTGGTTTTCCGAGACGATTTTCCTGCCAAAACGCGACTGGGCAGTTCAAATTTCAAGAGATGATCGCATGTGCTTCCCGCCCCTGATGGTCCCCACAGGACCGGGAATCGGAGGACTCCTCGATGGGTAATAACCCATGGTTACCACCCGGTTGGTTCACCCGACTGGGTGGTGATGGAAGTGACAGCACGCACCCTTCTTAGCCCGGGTTATTTGACCGGTTGGATGGGAAGGCCGGACGCCAATACCCGAAGATCTATTTTTCAAGTGCGCCTGGTTAGCCGGTCAGCCGCCTGACCGGTTGGATAATCAGAGACGTGCTTGACGTGCTTAGGATTATTATAAATACCCCTAAAAGCCTCATTTGTGAGGCATGCTTTAGCCTTACCATCGCTGGGTTCCCATCGATGGGATAAGTTCCCCATCGCTGGGTAAGGTCGTTCTGCCTTGTGTTGATGTTGGACCAAGGCTTTAACAGCGATGGGTAGAATTTCCCATCGCTGTTTGGCATGGTTCTGGAAGTTGGTTGGGCTGAAGGCTGCTTACCCATCGCTGGGTAATATCTCCCATCGCTAGGTGGCATGATTCTAGAATCCCGGGATCACTTACCCATGGATGGGTGATATCTACCATCCCTGGGTAGATGGCTAGCCCAGAACAATGGCCTAGCTGACCGGCACTGAAACCCGACCGAAAAATGCAAAGTTCTCCAAAGTAAAAACTAAGTATTTAAAACAATTATTTAATGTATTTTGATGTCAAAACAAGCTTTGTAAGTTGAAAACCACGTCGTTAAGGTAAAAACCACGGTTGACCAAGTCAACGCCGTACACGGGTGGTTTTTACCAAAAGACAAAACCGAAAGGTGGTTTTCATGATGTTTTGATTGGAGAACCATTTAAATGCATTCAAAAACAATTCCCACACAAAAAGACTCGAAAACCACTTCATTTAAGTAAAAACCATGGCTAGCGAAGTTTATGTCGTTTCGCATGGTTTTTATCAAATGACAAAAAACCAAAGGTGGTTTTTGAAGTGTTTTTTATGGAAAACTATTTAAATGTGCCCAGAAGTAAAAAACAATCATAAAAAGTTGAAAACCACTTGGTTGGTTTGGACGCCAAAAACCAACGCCGATAACCGAATGCTGAACGCCGGTTTCCGAAAGCCGAACCGCGGATGGCTTAGTTTTTGGTTTGGGCGAACACCAAGTGTTTTTAATATGTTTAAGAATGTTTGAAAATAATTTTGATGATATGTAAAATGCAATAAAAAAAATGTTTTAGCCTAACGAGCCAAAGTGTAAAGCTTGGGTCGGTCTTGATCACATTGTGACCGACTCAACGACGCTAAAGACTACGGTCTTCGTTCTTGGTCTCTTTTAGCTCTTGTTTTCTTGCTTTCTTCTTATATTTATTTCTCGCCTTGTATATTCAACGACTTGTCTCGTTCACGTAGGTTTGGCATTAACAAAACCTGTCATAACAACGAACACGGCTTTAGTACGAAAACGTGATAAACCCGTGTTTCAACATGGGTCACGATCCAGAGTTTGTAAATTTAATATTTATAAGTGATTGTTATTTTCAAATGTCAAGTGAATTTTTTAATTAACCCTCGTTTCACCTTAATTCGTGTAATTCCGGGTTATACGGATTGGGGTGTTACAACATATCTATTCATAATTTCATCTTTACGGTTCTTTCGTTCAATTCCAGATATGTTTATTTGTCATAATAAAATCATGATCGTTATGTAGTCATAATTACTCGGGTCGTCCATTTGATCATCATAATCAATATTTATTATCAACGATATTTCATTATCCATTATAATAACCATTTATTCAGGATGTTATCAAGGTTTGATTATAATAGTCATAATAACATTTATCAACAAATAGTGGCCTAGATTTGAGTGTTAACACCCGTACTTACCGTCATGCATCACATAATGTTTTATATGTCAAAAACATCATTTTTATTGTACAAAATCATATTTATATTGTTCATAATTAATTGGTGTCAAAAATAGGATTTTATAGCTTCAAAAATAGCATTTTCAGATTGAAAAATGTTCGTAACGGTTGATCGTTAGGTCCGAACGGTCGACCGTACCGTTCTGAAAATTTTCTTCTTCTTATGGTACCTGGTAACGGTACCTAGTCACGGTACCAGGGTCCCGTATCAGCACAGATTTTACTATTCATCATCTTCCTCCTTTGGCCATTTTTCTCAAGCTTCGTTTTAGGTTACCAAACTTCAATTAGACTATATAGAAATGTTCTCCAAAGTTCATAGATCATTTTGGTATCATTATGTCATGATTTTAACATCAAATTCAAGGTTTATGATTCTCGGTTCTTTAAGCATGTCAAACACAAAACTCAACCAAATGACCATTTATGAACGTAAAAACGACCTATACGAGCATTCTAGTCATTAGATATATCTATAGGCTTACCTTGAAGCTTAACGGAGGTTTTGGAAATTTTCCGGCGAACACCACGGCTATCTCCGGCAATTCTGACAGCGACGATGTATTGCGGCTTGTTCTCCACACTCCAAAGAACTTAATGGAAGAAAAATAAGAAGAGATGGTGCAAGATTGAAAGAATGAAGGTAGTCCATTTATAGGAAGGAGATGGGGAAAACTTCCAAGCCTGCTTCAATCGGCGTATCTTCGTAGTGGAGGAGGAGGCGCAGTCTCCACAGTGTCCCTGATAAAAACATTTTGTTCCTATCATTTTTATCATATTTTAGCGTTATTGCACGTAAATAATATTTCATCATTTCATTAATTGTGCATTTCATGGATAAAAATGCTTTAATTTGTTTTACTAGTCATAAAAAGGGTCTTTAAGGAAAATCGAGTCAAATCTACCATTTCATGACTAATTATGTGAGAAAAGGTTAAAATTATCAACTCCGGGTAAAAGTTGGACTCCTCCTAGCTCAAGATTCGCACAATGGGCCAACAAGGAACGAAATGGGGCCCAATTGGACCCTAATTCGCATAGGTCACGGAAGACCATTCGTGCGCCGCAAGAACCAGAAGCCGAGGCATCCCGCCCAGACGCTTGGATTTTCGGACGCTTCAGGTTTCGTCTTCCCCAAGATTGCCACGCGTCGCCACCAAAATGGATCGGGAGCCGAGGCGTCCGCAACCAGACGCCTCGGGGGACGCTTGGGGCTGGGACGCCCGGGCTCCTATTATTATAAATACGGACCCTCCTCTGTCACGAAAAAAACAGATCAGCAGCATCAGCAGCAGTTTTCTGCCTTTCTCCGGTTTTACACCCCTTTTTACAATTTTTTTCATATTTTAGGAGTTTAAGAATATTTTTAGGGGTACTCTGGAGCATTTGTCGCCCAGACCTCTTTCCAAGATTTTGTGCTATCATTCTGCTTGTCCGGAAACGGTAAGTAGATCTCTTTTAATATTATGCCGTTATTTTAGTTCATTATTTCCATAGTATGAGTTAGGGTTCGGACCCCTAGGGTCCGGGCTAGTTTGTGGTTATGCTTTTTATTACTAAATTAATGCTGGAATTTTTATTCTGAATTTGCTCTTGCCTTAACTGGTTAATTAATATAGAAATATTTAATTAACTTTTTATTGAGAAAATATTTTACGCCGAAAGGCTGAATTATTCAAGATCTGTTTAGGGTAATCACGAATCTAGAAATAGATGAGTGGTAGTAGAAATACGATTTTTCCAATCATTAATTTAATTAATTTAAGTAAACCCAAATGATGTCCTGGCCCTAGATCCAATTCCTACTTGTACTATGTGAATAAATTTATTTCCTTGTATTTCTTATTTCTTTTTCCCCTTTTATTTTCGCATCGAGAAGACTTCTAAAACCAATCCAAATCTTTGCCTAACTAGAGAAGTTGAATTAATTCCCTTCGTCCACTCCTCTAGAGAACGACAACTCGGGGATAAAACTAACCCTTTACTCGGAAGGTTTATACTCCAAAAAATTATTATTCGATCAAATTGGCGCCGCTGCCGGGGAGTGGCACGGTATTAATTTGGTTTCTTCTGGTTAGCTTAGGTGAGGATCGGTTAGGTCGATTTTCTCACATCTTTTACACAATCCACCCATAATAATTATGGATAACTCCAGTTACTATGGTCCGCCTTCTTACTGTCCACCACCAAACCGCCCTCCGTATCTATATCCGCAAACCTACCACCCACATCAAAATTATTTTGATGATGACTATCCAGTCAACAATACACTACGTCAAAAACAGATGATGACAACTATTTCTTTTAGTAGTCTCACGGTGCTGATTTCAGGAGTCTTCCGAGCAGCTGTCTGATATATTTACAGACTATTGTTTAAAAACAGTTGTGTAAAACGGTTGACGACACCTGTTTTGTAATGTTTTAGAGTTCGACTTTTTAGTGTTGTCCTTGTATGAGTAAGACATCTATTTTTTAGAGTTAAAGAGAACTGTCATTTTTTGTTGTCTATCTATAATGAATACTACTGTTTTTAACTTTAGACTTCTAATTCTTGGTGTTGTCATTCAACAATATAGACATCTACTTTAAAAAGTAATTGAAAGATATATCAGTATCAGACTGCTGCTCGGAAGACTACTAACATTATTCTTAATCAAACTACTGTTTGTTTTAGTTGTATATTGATTATTAACACAACGGTGTTTTGTAGTTTTTCTCGAAGTATTCAAACTATCTTTTATGACAGTAGCTAAATTGTTTATGAGACACCTACTCTAAAGATTACTAAAGAAATTTGCTTCAGACAACCATTATTTCGCGTTGTATTTTAAAAATATGAACTACTGTTTTTGTAGTATTTCAAACAACTGTTTGTTTTCATCGTCTAAATGTTATTAATACTACGAGTTTGTGTAGTAGATATACTCTTCAAACTATTAGTTTGAATGGTAGTTAAATCTTTTATTAGACAGCTGTTATCTTGTGTTGATTACCAAATAAATATAAATGCAAAAAATACAATATATTGAACAATATATAAATTCATACATTTAAAATACTATTAACATCTAATACTTTAATATTTACACCATCTTCCTTACAATTTGCATATTCTACATGCCTTCCTTTTCAATCCATCTTATTCCTCTATGGAAAAATCCAATACGAATCTGTATTTCACGTCGGCTTTGGCTAGGCGTTCCATGGCGGTGTTGACATAGTCCATCGGCATAATCTCAACATCGGGCATGATGTTATGTTGGCTTGAGTCTCCTTTAATTTATTCCAGCGATGCCACTTCCTGCAACCAATTTTCTGCCTGCGATCCACAATCAAAACATGAAATTAATGTCATTTAGTTCATTTTAGATCAATGCCAAAGCGGAGCAGAGATATGTACAACACGTGAATGGAAGTGTGGCTAATATTACATACCCATGATCAAGGGAAACGCCAACAAGTCAAGGGGTTTCTCCGGGAGACCAACCAATACAAGATTACCATTGGTCTTCAATAAGCTTAGTAGTGGCGTAAGAGGATGAACTGCTGAAACTGTGTCTATTATCCCATCAAGTGTGCTCTTTGTAGCCTTTTTTCTATATATACCAAAACTAATTATAAACCATATCATCATCAGAATTGTTAGAAAAATGAATAATAATACTCTCTAATTATGAATAAATTAATCATAACTTACCTGCATTTGTTCAGGGTCACAACTGATCAAGAAGGAATCAACACCAAAACGTTCTATGGCCTCTTGTTTTTTGTCGGCAGAGGTGCTGATGACAGTAACCCGAAGGCTTTGGTGTACTTGACAAAAACCTTGGATGAGGGGGAGCGCGATGAACAAAGTGATTCTTTCATAGTGTGGGAATGGTCACCTGTGTCATCATCCATAAGATTCATTCATTATATTATATTACAGTGTACAAGCAACAATGATGGAGAACTTAGTAATTTGAATGCATAAACAAACCCACTACCCAAGCCCAGTGATTCAAAGGCCATAGAAGCAGCACAACAACAACTTCTAAGTGCAATAAACCTAACCATGCAATCAGTTGGGCATTCCACAAAGGTGGCAAATTTGCACATGCAAATTCCCACAATGGTACACCAATCTGGGCAGTCCAGAAAGGCAGCAAAACCACGAGCAAAGTAATGTAGCCACAACAATAGGTTTGCCATTTTACCCTTGCATGCACCCAACATATAATTAATAGTGAAGAAGATTAAAGGGAAAAAAAGATATAAAAAAAGTGGCAGAAATACTAAATAAGTTGTGCTCACTGCATTTTAGTTTCAGTCACCTCTTAAGGTACCTTATTTGGTTTGTCAAACATCCATTCAAAATCAAGGCACCTAAATGTTGGGTCAACTACTCAAACAAGTTTCTTAAAGTGGCAGGTAAAAATTAAACATGGCATATACCATCACATGTATCGACACTCATTATCTAGTTACTTTAATTTATAGGCCAAGGTGAACAAAATATCTTATCATAGTGTGATGGTCTTGCTGCTCATGTGGTACCCATTACATCATAGTGTGATGTATCAAACAAGAGTGGCTTTTGACAGCATAGCTGTTTCACAATCCATGATCATATGAAGTATGGTTCTATTTTTGTTTATATAAAAAAACTCGAAATTATGATTAGGAAGTGGAAGAATGTGTGAGAGTGTTGCCATCATCCAAACTATAAATTGTGTTGCCAAGGGTGAAGCAAAGCAAGGTAAAAAAGACACAACATCTATGAATAAGAGAAGCAGCGAAGCAGCAGAAATTAGCAGCATTTGAATTGGACTTGAAAAAGGGGTAAACCCTGATTTTTAATCATTTCTTTTGTTATTTTCAATTGCACAGTATACTGGTTGAGGCTGTTGTATTGATCTGGTGCATAAAATATGTACTCTACATTTACCTGCAAGAAATGGTAGTTGCTATTTCATTGAGATGCTAATTCGAACTACTAACTGGATTTTGTGCAGTCTATTATTGTTGATGCTTTTTAGACTCTGTTACTGTAAGATCTATTAGGCTCTTGGCGATTGATTTTTGTATATCTAAGCAAAGTAGACTAAAGATGTTCAAGTCAAGGTTAATGAACATTTAATTTTCTTAAAAGAGTGAATATATTAATCTCATTTTGTGTTATCATCTAAGATTTTTCATTTCTTTTGCTTCTTTAGCCTCCTGTTAAGGTTCTTTCCATATTCATTGATGAAGATAAAGTGCAAGAAGCGGGGCTTGGAGAGAACTTATGAGTTCGAGTATCTGGGATTGAGGAAGATGATATCTTATCAGGCTTTGTTTTATGCAGTGTTGGTAAATACCATTCAATTAATTTCTTTGCTTAGTATACTTTTTCAATTTTCAAAGCTTTATGTGTGGACAGGGTTTGCTCAATTTGTCCATTGTTAAGCTTATTTGGAAGGGGTTCATCAAGTTATCATTATGTTCTTTTATACATATATAATCCTGTCTCGGTTTTTACTGAAATGGATCTGTGTCTTGGTGTAGTAAGGCCAGTCCCTGCTGTTATAGAGTTTTTTTGCGCACTTATCAATCAAGGAGCTGCTGGATAATGTATGAATTGAAACTTAGCATTTTTATTCTCTTATTTGCTTGTTATAAAACTAGGTTTATTGTATGTCGCATTCAGGTTGGCTTCTTAACAACACGACTTCTGCTCTGTGGTCTTCTTATGTTGTGCAAATAGATGAACTTCAATTATTAAATAGATGCATATGAAATACTTTGGAGGTATTTAGCTTGCTAATAATTCTAAAAAAAATCGAGTATTTTTGTTATGAACTCTTTCTTGTTATCAACAAACATTCATTTTAATTATTCAATGGTATGCAGATTGAGGACTAAAGTGGATGCTTTACAAGAAAATATTGCTAGAGCAAGAGATGTATTCAAAAATGTTAATGAGGAGACAAATAACTAAATTAGGCATGCCAAATGGACAATTAGAGTGTGATTTTAATAATGTAAATATTAAATTATTGTATGTTATTTAGACTTGGATTGTATGTATTTAGATCTTATTCAATATATTCTACATTTTAGGATTTATTTTTGTTTCATGATCAATATTTTGGAATTGAAATAAATTTTATTTATTAAATATAAATGTAAATTGAAATATAGTAGTCTTTCAAACAGCTTTACAATGTATTAAAACAGTTTTCTAAATCTTTAAAGGACAACAACACAAACATGTACTCTTAATAAATGTTAGACAATAAAAATAAACAGTTGTGTCAAATACAACAAATATAGTTGTTTACATTTTACAAATACAACATAGAATAGCAGTTGTCTTATGCAAATATACTTAGTTGTCTTCGGAGCAGTAGTCTGATTTACAATTTGACTACTGTGTAAAAAGATAGTTTGAATATTTCAAGGATAACTACAAAAAAGCATAGTGTTATTGAGAATTATACAAGTGAAAGAAACGGTTGTTTAAAATACAACAAAATTAGTAGTCTACATTTTAGAAATATAACACAAGATAACAATTGTCTGATGCTATTTTTGTTTAGTAGTCTTCCAAGCAGCAGTCTGATATATCTTTCAACTACTTTTGAAATTAAATGTCTATATTGTTGAACGACAACACCACGCAATAGAAGTCTGAAGTCGAAAACAACAGTAATATTTATTATAGATAGACAACGAAACATCACCGTTGTCTTTAACTCTAGAAAAAAGATGTCTTACTCATACGAGGACAACTTCAAAAACATGTACTATGAAACATCACAAAATAGGTGTTCTCAACCGTATTACACTATTGTTTTTAAACAATAGTCTGTAAATATATCAGACAGCTGCTCGGAAGACTACTGAAACTAGCACAGTTAGACTACTAAAAAGAATAGTTGTCAGCATTTGTTTTTGACGTAGTGTTTAGCTTTTAATGAAGTATAACTAGAGCATGTAGTAGATGAAGTAGATGAAAGTTCTTGTGGCCTTTTTCCAAAAGAGATAATTTCTTGTTTAAGTTTATCATTTATATTTTTGAGTTCTTTGATATCCTTCTCAAAAATCAGGATTTTTTGCTTTACTTCAATGTTTTCTTTGGAAGCCTTTTTAAACATTCCTACTAAATCTTCTACAATGCAAACAACATCACTAAGAGTTAAAGGATCATTGGGAGAAGTTTCTTGATCACTTACCTTTTTTGATGTTTCACCATCCTCAATGGTCATGAGACACAAGTTGGCCACTTCCTCCATTTCCGAGTCATCACCACACCCATAGCACTTGGGTGGAGTGTTCTTCTTGGCTCCTTTCTTGAGCATCATCTTCTTAAATTCTCGGACGAAGAGTCCGAGGTCGGTGTCGTCGCTATCATCATCTTCATCATCAACATTGTTAAGGGTTGATGTTGTTGCAGGTAGAGCAATAGACCTCTTGCTCCTCTCTTCAACCACCTTTGAGAGTTGGGTGGTTTTGTAGGTAATGAGATTACCTCGAAGAGCATCATAGGTCGTTGTTTGGAAGTCACGACCTTCTTCGATTACGTCCACCTTTGAACGCCATTTTGGGGATAACCTTCGTAGCACCTTTCTCACAAGTTCTCGGTCGGTGTATGTCTTCCTGAGAAGATTGAGAGGATTAATGATGTTAGAGAACCTCTCAAACATTTCCTCAATCTTCTCGTTTTCCTTCATTGAGAAGAGTTCGTACTCATGAGTGAGATGGTTGATTTTGGCCTCCCGAACCTGCGCGGTTCCTTTGTAGGTGACCTCCAATTTCTCCCACATTTGTTTTGCGGTTTCACACCGCGAGATTTTGCGGTAGTCATCCGAATTAACACCGCAATAAATCATGTTTATTGCCTTTGCGTTGAGCTCCATCTTTTTACAATCTTCGTCGGTGAACTCTTCTTCGGTTTTGGGGAAGTTGACTTCACCGACTTTCTTCATCGGGACTCCACACCCGTTCTTGACTATCAACCACAGTTTGTAGTCATTAGATTGGATGAAGATCCTCATCCTCTCCTTCTAATAAGAATAGTTGGTTCCCTCAAACAACGGTGGCCTTGTGGTTGATTGTCCCTTGGTCACTCCTCCGTTGAACATTCTTGATGTCATTTGATCTTTTAGTTCCTGAAAAAAAACGTATTCGAAGAACTTCCTGCTCCGATACCAATTGTTAGACAAATGTGCAACTCTAGAGGGGGTTGAATAGAGTTGTTTTCAAGAATGTGCGTTTTTCGCGTGTGTGATATAAAAATCGCAGGAATAAATTAAAAAAGTAAGGGAAAGAAGAACACCGAGATTTATACTGGTTCACCACCTTGTGGCTAGTCCAGTCCTCCAATAGATTCTCTCAAAAGTCCTACTAAACTTCAAGCTTCAACAGGTGCTTGAAAAACCGGTACAACTCGAGAACTTGAATCACACAAGCCTAAACTTCATACAACAAGACTTGAGTCACACAAGCCTTAACAACAACAAGACTTGAATCAAACAAGTCTTAGCAACACTCAAATAAGATTGAGTTTACAACACAAGAATGAAAGCTCACACAATTGAGCAATAAGTGTTGAAATATGAAAGTTCTATGGATGACAATATCTTTAGCACTCAATGAAAATATTTCTAACTCTCAAAATAATATTTGATGAGGAAGATGGGAGCAAGAAATGAATATAGCTCAATGAAGATATTGGAGTGCAAGAGTTGTATTAGAAATGAAGGGAAAAGATGGATTAAATAGGCTAAGGATAAAAGATCCGTTGGAGCCACTGAAAAGTATTGAGAATAGGCACCAGACAGAATTAATCGATTAAATTAGGGACTTTAATCGATTAAAGTGTACAGAAGCGAAAAGGCCTGTATGCAAAGGTGGAATTAATCGATTAAAAAAGAGAGAAAAATCGATTAGCTTGCTGTGTTTAAACTAATCGATTAAATGGAGCAATTTAATCGATTAAGTTTATTGTCCTGAGAAATCCAACGCTGAGAAAGAAATTGGATCTAATCGATTATTTTAGAAAATTTAATCGATTAAAGTGGAAATAATGCGCAAACATAAAGGGCCCAAGCCAAGTGCGATGAGAAGGGCATTGGCTTCTTACTCGTTGTTTGGGACAACGAGAATATCAACGGACGCTCCTCAAATAATAATATCTCCTATTCAATGTATTTGAGTAGGGGAGAAAAAAATGAGTCCAAAAATTATTTTGTGTGTCAAACGATGTACAAAAAAATATTTAAAGTATTGTTGGGCGTGTCGTAGCACCTGCAAATTAATTAATTATTTTCCTTAACTCTTAACCCCCTTTATGAATTAATATTCATTAAAACATATAGATAGGGCAAGTAAGGGTCGATCCCACGAGAAAAGATACTTTTTAGGCTATGAAAATCAATTTACTTGTCACTTTTATTAACTAAAAACTAACTAAAACCTAAGACCTAAAACTAAAGGATATGGGGGGTTTGAATGATAATTCTAAAAAGATAAAAATGCAAATAAAATAAAGATAAAGGATAACAGATAAGAGATGGAAGCACAACAGCAACTCAAACTCAGAAGAACACTCAGGGGAAAACGAACACACAAAAACAATCACACGGTAAACTTTATAAAAACTTAGGCAATAATAATTAACTTAAACCGTTTTGAAACTACTCATATTTTTTAATAGAAAATAAACTGAAACTACCCATTCACATTAGCTCATGTTAAGACCAACCCTAACTCTAAACCCTACTATCCTTAGCAACCCAAAGACCAACCCTTAAGTTACTACTAAGAATAGTGCATTAGGATTTGTAGAAAACATCACCATAACAATCTTGCAGTAACACTACGGTTATTTAACAAAATCAGTTCAAGAACCTTGATTAGCAAAAATTACTTAACGAGGCAATCTAGTACCAATCAAGTAACACTTAGTTTCTAGAAAAGTTCGGCTATTTAAAGCACTTTGGATTTTAAAAGAATATCAATTTAAATTGGATTAGGCGCGCGTTCCTAATTTTGCCCAATTTAAGTAAAAATCTGGTGAATAATAATTCTCAGAACACCTTTTTGAGTTTAGATTTAACAGTAGCGTAGAGCTAAAATTCCTTCAAAGTCAAATTAAATTCAACAAACAAAGATTCAATCTTTTTTTCAAACAATTTAGCCTAAGAAGGTTTTATAATCCAGAGAGAATAAACCAAATTTGAACAATGCAACATCAACACAAACAATTCAACACTTATAATATAACTCAAACATTCAACAAACATGAAATTGAAAATAAACATATTTAATATGGAGATTCAAATTCATCAATTTTAGAAATTAATAAGTTTAAAAAATCCTAAATAAGAATGGAAGTGGAATCAAAACACAAGAAATTCTTCTTTATTCGCACGCTGCACACAGAGGACCTGCTGGAGCCGCTGCCGGACCATATGTCGTCGCCGCGCCGCGCCGGACCTAGGGTCGAAACGCTAGGTCCGACTCTCTGTTCCGTTTCCCTCTCTGCTCTCTTCCGATTTGGTCTCTCCGTATATCCGCCCCCTCTCTTGTGGCTTTTTGTCTTCTTTTTATACATGAATTAATCTAGCTTTAGTCTTCAATTTGGATTAGGAATAGGAATTAGAGTTGGAATCCAAGAAGAAGGCTAGGCTCGTCCGTTTCTTGCGCTGTGCGATTACTATTGCTAAAGTAGGAGTCTCTCTTTTTTTTGTTCTTCTTCTCCCGTTCTTTTCTACGGAGTACTTCATTTTATCTCTTTTCTTCTTCTTTTTTTTATCTTTATTTTGTACTCTAAATATATCTTGAAATCTGTGTCAAGGAAAACAATACTTCTAAATAATTGTCAAATAAAAATATGCTCAAAATCATGCATTTTTTGTATAAAATATAAAGAGTAGCTTAAAGTGCTAAATAGAACAAAATATGATTATTTATGTATAAAATGCATATAAAATATCATAAAAGTACTAAGAAATGAGAGAATAAAATATGACATTTTGTGACTCAACAAGTATATTTTTCTTACCATAAAAAAATTGTGTATCCTTAAAAAATTATTATTAAGAAATTTTGACACACTATTTTGAAACTGAATCAGTAAAATATTTTTAGACAGAGGAAAAATAATTTTTCAACTGACTCAGAAAAGAATAATTTTTATCTCAAAAACAAATTATGTTTATGCAAAAGTTATTGTCATTCTTACAAAAATTCCTAGACTCAATAAAAAATAAAGGGTCTTTGGAATCTTCACTTCACTTCAAAAACTGCGTACGGGTGAGCGTTTGATTTTATCATCGTAAATTTCTTGATACGCCTTTTTGCTTTTCTCGAACAGCTTGAATTTAATCATCGTGTTTGTCATTCATCAAAACAAAAAAAATATTCTAGAAAAATAATAAAGGGGTTTGAACTCATGTCCAACAATAGAGATATCCAAAATGCCAAGTTTGTTCTGAATGTGGAAGAAACTCTCCCTACTTAGCGGTTTTGTGAAAATGTCTGCCAATTTATGTTTCGTTTCAACAAACTCAATTGTGACATCTCCCTTTTGGACGTGATCTTGTATGAAGTGATTCCTAATCTCTATGTATTTAGTTCGCGAATGAAGAATGGGGTTTTTCGTTAGACTAATGGCACTCATATTGTCACACCTAATTGGGATGTTATCAAGTATAAGGCCGAAATGTTGGAAGACACTTTGTACGTTAAACTAAAGTCGTGTTCATTTCTGATAGGTTTTGATAATTGCCAAACCGCCGTGGATATGAAGAGTTTCGTTGAATAACTCAAGGCGTGAAGAATGGCATGGAACATGACCAAAAAGACTCAAGGACAAGATCAAGAATTGAAGACTTAGTCGAGTCAGTCTTTTGTGATCAAAACCGATAATCAATTCAAGTCTTGGTTCTCAAAGAGTCAAAATTATTTTACAATATCATAAAATGTTTTTATGCATCAAAATAAACATTTTAGATAAATTTTTTATTGTTAAAATCCTTGGTCCTTGCTCAGAACCAAAATCACCTAAGTCGGCGTACCGTGTTCGGCACTCGGTGTTCGGCGTTCGGATTTTTGACGCCCGAACCAACTCGGTGGTTTTCAATGTTTTAAACCTCGCTTTTATCTCTGAGCATATTTTAAATGTTTCCAAATAATTATTTTATAAAAACCACTTTTGTATCTTGGTCAATCGGTCTAACACGTGAAAAACGGTCAAAACTGTACGCACGTGATTTACGACCTTGAGGACTTGGTTTTTACCAAACAAGTCTTGTTTTCACTATTT